ACTATTTTGTTCTGTAAGCCTTCATCTTAAGTGAGAATAACAGCACAACTAGAAGAGCATATTCAATGTCTCTGAACTGTGTATGTAGAAATTTTTGAAACGGTGTATCTTTGGCTATCTGTATTTTTACCAAAAAAAAAAAAAAGTTGAGAATTTAGAGGGTTAATATGTTGTGGGGTTGTTAACCAATGTCATAAAACAACATGTGTACTACTGTTTCATGAGAAACTACTTGTTCTGTAAGCCTTCACCTGAAGTACAATAAAATATAAAAAATAATAAAAAAAAAAATACCATGGCTTACATTCATTTTCTCAGAAGCCAAGTATTTATATTTCGAAGTGAGCTATATGTCAATTTCCAAAAACTTCAAAACATTTTGAATAGCATTCTTTAAATTGCTAGTTAAATAATTATTTCCAGAATTCATAAATAAAATGAAGAACATGATGCATAAAGCAGATTTCAATGTACTGTAACATCTGAACTGGGGTAAGTGTAATGTTCATTTTTTTTCCTGCATCTTTCACAGTATTAAATTGAAATGTTTCATGAATTCCGTACATTGGACAGTAATGGATTCATTAATTCACGTACTGATTTTACATTCAGGCTTATACGCAAAGTCATTCTTCTTCTCTACACATAAATATGAAAGATCACACTCTGACACAACACAGTGAGAAACAAGAAATTAAAAAGAGAAAGTGAATGTAAAATTAAAAGGACAACAAATATGACAAGAAGGTGCTTTTATTTTTATCATCATCATCAGGTAACACAATGAACTAGAGTAAGTACCCATGTGTCACCTCGCCCTCCTCCTCAGGCCACCCTGGTCTTCCCTTCCTGGTACAGCTATTTACCCAAAGCCTGCACGCCACTCCTAGGGCTCGGGGAGACCGGCAACGGCATTTTGAAAAAATTAAAAGCCTATCATTCTCACTCTCTAACCTCAACTCTAAACTGGATTTAAGATTCTGCATGCAAATCCTCTGCCAGCTGAAGCTTAAATCACATACTCGTCTCAAGTAGTTTAATGATGAATTTGCCACTCTTTATCACCTCCAAACTCCAAATTACAAACGTGCTAACTATCTTAGGAACCTCTTGGTTTCCCATTAATGCAGAGCAATTCTGCAAAAGCAGCAGCTCATGAATTCTTTGTTAAAAACTCAGCACTGAAATTTAAGATATCAATTATAACCCAGTCGATTATCTTTTTCATGTGATGCTCAAAACCTTCCAACATCTTATTACAGAGGATTCAGTCAGGCTAGCACTGGAGTAGCTTTGCAGCTGAGCTAAACAACTTGCTCAATACACAAAGTGAACTAGGAATAAAATCCCGGCCTTAGGACCTGAGGGTTCGGAGCTCTGCGTATATCACTGAACAAGGCTAAGCCATCTGAAAGGAGGGTATATGCTCCCACAGTGAGTTACTTACTTCAGCACTATCCTGAATAGAAGAGCTGTTGTTATAATGCTAAAATTCGAGAAGATAACAGCCATGGCCTAGAAAGAAAGAGAAGATAGAGTTACAATCCAAAGTATTGACCTCAGAAATCTCCCAGTTTGCTGGTTCACCTGACAAAAAAAGCTTTTGGTCAAAAACCAAACAGGGTCATTAGGGCAGCTATTTCACTAGAGGATTAAATTCCATTTTTATTGCTTGCTAAATTTAGTCAGATGTGATCAAATTATTGCAAAGGTTTTGAAAATAGGTGTTTAAATCCAGTGAATGCCTGTGAAAATAATCTGCATGTGCAGATCTGGAGGTGCTCCAATTCTCAAGGTTTAGCTCTGAAAATAACACATGGCATGCTTATGAAGCACTTTTTTAAGCTCTGAATGTGCTTTATAGACTTTAATGCTGCTTCTGTGGCTGGACAGAAGGCAGATACTGACAGGACCACTTAAATGGTAAGAACACTGAGGCACAAGTTTTTAAGCACCTTTACCATTCTAGGAATAGAATCAATTTTCTTGGTTGAACAGAAGTGACTCAATACCAAACTCACATCTGACAGCTCTTTAGATTTACTTAAGTTACTCTAAACACTTACAAAGGTGTTAGCCAGATTTTATAAAGACTTGCTTTTGTGAATTCAGTCATATTTCACATATGAGAGTATTCATCTGAATAAACATATATTTGGCTCAGAAAGTACAGAATTATATCACTGTTCTCCATAGCTGCATCCGACAACATTAATAACTACTTTTAACACAAGTCCTACTGATTAATTTCACCCTGCCTTCCTCCTTGTTATCACTATAAGTTGATTAAACCCAAAGGGTATCAACAGTCTTATATAACCACTAAAACAGATAACATGGCTGATAGCTAACATGGCTCTTATTTCTTTAGCAAAACTAAAGAAATAAAAGTAGACTTCTAGTAACAATTCCAAGAATGTAACAGTTGTTTTTCTATTGAATTTTTATGGGAATCAATATTTTAGGTTTTCTCAGTGTATTTTTCTGTAGACAAATGCTTTTGAACCCCTATTCAAGAATAAAAGTAAGAGGTGATGAGGAAAGAAAAAGTGGCTGGTAAGAGGGGGGAAGCAGTGGCCGTGATCAAACAGTAACGGCAGTATAAATGCATCTAACCAAGCAGACTGGCTGGCCTGACGAGCTCTGAACACTCTTTCCAAACTCTTAAATCAAGTGGTACGGAATAAATAAAACATCAGAGCTCTTTGCCCCAAACCTTCCAGGCATCTCTTTAATTCCAATCAGCTGGGCTCAGGCACAGCAATACAGCGTGCCAGCTGATTCTTTCTCAATACCTGTGGTTACACACAATCAGGAAGGAAGAGCAATGCAATAACCTGGAAGAACAAGGAAGTTGCAATCTTGCTTTGGTACCAGCAACCTAGGCAAGGTCTGATTTAGAACAAATCTGTTTAATATAAATAAAATACAACAAATATGTTTATGGAATGTGAGTAAGTATGTTGTTGGCTATAGGGATTCTCAGATCTGAAAACACAAAGTGAAAGGTAAGAATTTAGGGGAGGATACATTCTAGATAAACTGAGCACTTACTAACAACATGGATCACAAGGCTGAAAGAACTTCCAGCGACCAACTGTCCCAGGCCCTGCCTTTGGGCCCGAATGGTATCACTGTTCTATTTTACAGGTGTGGCAAGTGAAACCTGGGCCAGGTGGGACTTGCCAATTACCCAGCTTCTAAATTGTGGGAAAGAGTCAAGCTCCTGCCTTCCACTACAGTGCTCTCTCAATGACAGCACATTACTGAGCTCTGTTCTCATCCCACTCTGAACTGAGGAGGCCACATTTAAGGGGTTTCACAGGGAGGACCAGTGCCAATGAAAACGTACTTACAATCAAAATGCATGAATTTATTTTTTAAAGAAACTTAAAACATTTTGGCAACAAAGGCAACTGAAAGCTTGATTTTATAAAATATTGGGAAAATACATACATGACCAAAGTGGATAATAAGTAAAGGCAGAAGCCCAAACGTCAATTCTGATTACTAAAGGCTCTCCAATCAGATGAAGGATGCTGAGAGCGATGAGAAGTATTCTTAGCATTACGAGTTACAGATGGCATTTATACTTGCGAGGATATGATCCCTACCCTCAAAGAACGTATTAGTAAAATAACAGGGTTAAAGAAAAAACAAACGAACATACATACAAATAGAACACATACAAACTACATTCGAACAAGGGTAAGAGAGGCACACGGAATGCATAACTTTCTGAGTTAATCATGGAAGTCTGTTTGGAAGTCCTTGATGGTGAAGTTAATGCTAGAGGCTGGTGGCCACAGGAGACTCAAAAAACGGGCAGACTGGTATGGTTACAGGAGGTGGCTCTGATTCCTTGGGCCAAGAGAGCAATCCTCCAAAGCAGTTTGTACAGCTTGATACAGTACTGTTTAACAGAAAGAGAATCTGGCAAGCAGATAGGGGAATTAAGTATTCAGGTGATTCTGGGAAAACCTCAGGAAGGCCACTGAGGGCAACGAAAATTTAAGAATGCCAAGGAAAACGATGAAAAAGACAGATTAGTTCTGGGATTCTTCGTGTTATTCCAATATGATTTTCTTTGTCATATTTACTTACAGGCTGAAGATAGGACAGGACATAGAAGACAATCAAGTTATCCAGGAAGTAAAGAAAGGCAGGAATGGACCACTTCATAAAATTGGAGAATTCCTTCCAGGAAGCACATCTCAAGTTTCTACTTTGATGATCTTCTATAAATAAAAGAAACACAGCAATAAAGAGTCTTGATGAGAATGCTTATATTTTGAGAAAGTAAATTGCATTTGATCACTGATACAATTCTTTAAAAGGGACTTTATGAACTTGCCTCCATAAGTGACTATTAGCCTTAAGAAATCAAAGACTATACAGGATTTTATTACTGTCTCTCTTTCTTTACCCTGCTTGCTGCACTTTCTCACTGACAACCAGCAACATGGTTAGGAATACTGAGGCTCCTGATTCCTGTTAGCGCGAGGCAGTACAAGTAATACTTACGGTGGCTCAGGATAGACATCTGGTTTCTCTGACTGCTCCGAGAGCAGAAGGCCAAGAAGGAGATCAACAAGTTATAATAAGTAGAAAAAATATCAAGTCTTCATGCTGGGATTTTCCCCCGGCGGGGGATACAGGTAAGGGAGACACTAAGTGGAACTGACATACATGGAACTAGAGAAAATGAGCTTTTACTAATCCTAGTATGAGTTACTGTCCCATCTCCAGATTTACAAAAACTTAGGAAGGTACTGCAGCAGAGAGAAAGAAAAGATAGAAAACAAAAGTGGTTTTAGTTTAAACCCTGTAAACAATGCATCAATTTCATGGGATAAGAAATGTATTCCACTAACTGGAAATTTTGCACAGATTGCAACCCTTGAGCATGAAAAGACATCCTTCTGGACAAGCTTTATGCTCTAAATTCTGTGGACCTCACGTGGGAAGGAAGATCAAAGCAACAGGAGAGCGTGAAGGCTCAACAATTGGGGAACTGAGGTGAAGCCCAGTCCCTGGGTGGTGCAAACAATTAATGTGCTCAGCAGCTCACTGAAAGGTTAAAGGTTCAAGATCACCCAGAGGTGCCTTGAAAGAAAGGCCTGACGATCTACTTCCAAAAAATAGCCACTGAAAACTCTATGGAGCACAGTTCTACTATGACACATAGGGGTTTGTAATGAGTTGGAATCGACCGGACAGCCATTTGTTTGTTGTGGTAGGAAGCTACACATTCCACAAAATGCTCAATACGTTACAAATACTATCTAATCATTTCAGGAAGGGTTTGGTGTCCTTGTTTGATACCTGAGGAAAGTGAAGCTAAAAAGAAGTTCAATAATCTGCCCTAGAGCAGTCTCTTGGACTCCAGTGCACTAAACCGCCTCCCCTGTAGGAAGCAGGAACTGATTTTCAATATGCTACATGTCAGTCAGACAGCACAATGATTTAGAAGGTCCTGCTGTGTGACCCATTATAGGAACAATTAACAAGGTAGCGTAACAGGCAGGATGCTGGGAAGCCTGGGTGGAGTCCAGGCTCTGCCCCTTCCTATCCATCCGGTTTCTCCATCTGCAAAACACGGGTAATCACACTTCCCAAGTGCTGTGAGCATTCAACCAGATAATAAATGGCTAAAGCATTTGTAAATGCCATACCGCTCTGCAAGTAATAATAACAATGCCTATTATTATTATTAATGTAGTACCTTGTTTGCAGCTTAGCTTCCTCATATGTAAAAGTAATGGGCTAGACTAAATGACGTAAGATGCTCCTTCCAGTTCTAAAATATTTTGATTTTTTGATTTTTTTTAACAGATACATAATGCCATTTCAAGACTCACCTTTCTTTATAACCCAGAACGACACAAGCACACAGAAAACAAGCTTTACCAGTTCTGAGGAAACATTCACAGTAGTTGGCAGATAATCATATTTGTTCTCTGAAATGTAATAGAAATGATCAGTTTTAACTATAAATTTTACTTTAGATAATGCTCATATATAGTTAATAATTTGTAATTATTTTTAAACTGAAAAGTTGGATTTTAATATTGGTTATATTAAACCTTATTCAGTTGTTTTTGCTCTTTTGGATTCTTCAATCAATTCACCAAATGTATTAGCTATCCCTATCCCATTCAGCTTTTTATCCTTGAATTTGATCAATATACCTCTCATACTTCCATTCAAGTTGCTGATAAATGTGTGGAAGAGGCCAAGGCCATAGGCAGAGAAAGCTGAGTGGCATGGCATTAGACACTGCCTTCAAAACTGACCTTTAACCAACATTCTTTGGGTCTGGCTCATCAACCAGCTATGAATATATCTGGCTGAATTATTATCCAGCTCATGGTTCTTCTTGTGTCACTTGTTTGCCTTGCTAAAATCAAGATACAGTCAATCTATAATATTCTCTTAACTTAGCTTTCCAATTTATTTCATATCATGGCAGACGTAGAAAATGTCAATGTTTCTTTGGCACTCAGGGATAACAGGTACATTAGGGTAAAAGTAGCAAGCTAGTAAAGGCAAGACGCAACTGGCCCAAGGCTGGGCTACCCCCAGGGCTGAGAGGAAATACTGTGGCACATCCACACCCAGTCACCAGTTGGGAAGTCAATCTAACTAGGAAACAAGGTCTGGTTAGCACAGCTTGGTCTTAGCAGTTACCTGATTTTTCTAAATGCTTACAAACAACTTAGTTTATAATTTGCCAAGGACAAGCATAAACTTTATTAGGCCCAATGTTCGGGAATGCATTTTTCCTCTTTTTGAAAATATTTGCTTACTTCTCTTGGTCATCAGACAAAAACAAAACCAGCCAAGCACAGGGGGAGGAGGGCCAAGGGGACGTTCTCTCTATCCAGAACAGCCTTTTGTAAGAGTACTTCTTCATCTCTGTGGTTTCCCCTGACCTTCTGAACCTAAGCAGACACCACTCTTTACTCACCCTGTTCCTGTAGCACTACCTGTAAATCCCTATGACAGCACGTGTCCTACTGCATGACAGCTATTTTTCATGTGTCCGTCCTACTCCTCATGAGAAGGGACCATATGAGCCCCTTCATATAAGGGGGCACTTACCAGTGTCCAACACACAGGCACTTAATAATCGTTCACCTGAATTTAAACATGTAATGAAATAAACATTTGCCTGCTAAAGTTTGGCCATTATTCCAAGCCTGGTTAAACCATCTCCTCTTCCCTCTTCCATGGTCAAAGCTAGACCTAAATCACAGTGATCTTCCAGTAACAGTCTGCATTGATCACTCTCATGGTGAAGAAGAAAATTAATGACAGACATCTTACATTGATTTAAGGTTTTTCTCATCCAGGAAGCCAAATATGAACTGTAAAAAGCCTGACCCAAACTGCAAAAAGCCTGCCAGAAGCTGCTCTATAGCGATGTAATTTGTCTTTTCCTTAGCAAAGGATAGTCAACAAACCATTACCTCCGGATTTAACGACAGAGTCTGTTAGTTGTTGTTATTAGGTGCTGCTGAGTCAGTTCCGACTCACAGCAACCCTACAGGACAGAGTAGCAGCCATGGCTTAACCACTACGTGACCAGGGCTCCAAAAAGACTCTAGGTGCTCCAAATTTAAATCTCAGAAAGTCTCATGACTGCAGGTGGGTGGAGGGCCAAATTTTTAGCAACTAGGCCAGGCGCCACCAAGTAATCTGATTATCAGCCGGTCTCAGTAAAAGGTGGAAAGCCAAAAACAAACAAACCCACTGCCATCAAGTACATTGGGGCTCAGAGTGACCCTACAGGATAGAGCAGAACTGCCCTCTAAGGTTTCCAAGGCTGTAATCTCTACAGAAGCAGACTGCTACAACTTTCTCCCGCAGAGTGGCTGGAAGGTTCCAACTGTCGAGTGAACTGAGCACTTAACCACTACACCACCAGGGCTCCATTTCATCATAATCCAAAGAATCAAGTATGATCTTGCAAGAGAGGGGATACATTCTTAATTTTGGCAACCTTAAAACACTGCTTTTTCAGGTTTTTTTTTTTTTTTTTTAAAGCTATACCATATTTCTCCATTTATCTGTTGCTGTTGAGTTGATTCCGACTCACGGTGACCCCATGTGTTAGACAACTTTTTCATAGGGTTTTCTTGGCTATAATCTTAATGGAAGCAGATGGCCAGGTCTTTCTTTCGTGGTATTGCTGGGTGGACTCACACTGCCAGCCTTTAGGTTAGTAGCTAGCAGAAACCATCTGTGCCACCTAGGGACCATACTTTCTCCATCCTTCTCTGAAACAGCAGTCCATGTTCATTATCTCTACTTCACCCAGGTCCCTTAAACCAAAAAAAACCAAACCTGTTGCCATTGAGTCGACTCTGACTCATAGCAACCCTATGGGACAGAGCAGAACTGCCCCATAGAGTTTCCAAGGAGCACTTGGTGGATTCAAACTGCCAATCTTTTAGTTAGCAGCTGTAGCGCTTAACCACTATACCACCAGGGCTTCCCCCAGTCCCTAGGTGCCACAAATGGTTTCCACTCGACTGCTAACCTAAAGGTTGGTGGTTCGAACTCACCCTGCAGTACTGCAGAAGAAAAGGCCCGGCGATCTGTTACCATTAAGGTTACAGCCAAGAAAACCCAATGGAGTAGTTCTATTCTGTACCACGAGGTCACCATGAGTTGGAACTGACTCCAAGACAACTGACAACAACAATCACTTTACCGACTTTCCATTCAGTTTCTTGTCCCCAACAATATGGTTTCTGATCCCATTACTGCACTCAAACTATAAACTCAGGGAGATGACCAAACACCTTCTAAATACTAATTCCAAACCTGTTGCCATTGAGTTAATTCCGACTCACAGCTACACTATACTCCAATTCCAAAGGGCAAGTTTTAATTCTTATCTTGACCTTGCCGTTCTGTCTTTAACTCTTTCCTTTGTTTCTAGAAGTCTATGTGCATTTAGTTCTCTCATGTTTTTCTTTTTTTTATTGTTGTAGTTTAAATGAAATTTACATTTCATGTTAGTCTCCCATACAAAAATTTACACATACATTGTTACCTGACTCTAATTGCTCTCCCCTTAACCCAATTCCCCATGTAGTTCTCTCATCTTCCTAACAATTCCTTCTTAATGTCTTCCGGTGTCTTTTAAATGTTGACATTCCTTAGATCTATCCTGGGCTCTTTTCTCATTCTGTGTGCTTACTCTGAATATGCCCTCCTCTCCCAAGAAGCCCTGGTGACGCAGCAGTTAAGACTCAGCTGCTAACCAAAAGCTCCACAGTTTGAATCCATCAGCCACTCCTTGAAAATCCTCTGGGGTAGTTCTACTCTGTCCTATGGGGTCACTATGAGTTGGAATCGACTCGATCGCAATGGGTTCTCCCAAGGATTTAAAAATCAACTTAATGTTAATGCCCCAAAACTATACTGTGAAATACTTGACTTACTGCCACTAGACTATCCATGTGAATAACTATCCTCATTCATTTAATCTGTATTTCCTTCACACGCATGATGTGCCAACACTGCAGGATGCTGCAAAGAACAAGGACATAGCTCCCAGCCTCACAGAAGGCACAGAGCTAAAACTACGTAACCTCTGAATTCTGCCCAACTTGTTCTTCCTCCTAAGAGTCCCCATATCAGCAGAGACACCATCAATCCACTCAGCATCCAAACCAGGAACCTTGAGCTCTCCAATTCATTTTCTTTAATCCGCACATTCGTTACACCCTCCAAGTCCTGTGTTCCTGAACCTACCCACACCCTTATCCCTACTTACAAGCGCTGGTAAAAGTCTTCATCATCTGTGGCCTGAACACGCAATGAAGCCCTGACTGGTGGCTGCCCTGCATTTAGTCTCTTCCCCTTCAGTCCATCCTCCATCCAGTGGCCACAGTAATCTTCCTAGCTTTACCCGTTTACAATCCTACAAGTATTCCTTCACATATGAAGCCCTTAACCATCTAACTTCTCTCCCATGCCAAGCGCCCCTCCCTCTCCTCCAAGTATTCAAATATTTTGCTCAGTAATTCTGAACTGAACTGCCTGTTCTCAAGACATACCTTGCTTTTTTTTTTTTTAAATTGTACCTCAGGTGAAGGTTTACAGAACAAATAGTTTC